TCTATAAAATAATATGTGAAGAATATGGTAAACCACCATGAGTCCCTACTGTTACATACTGAAGCAAGGTAGTTGTATCAAGAAAAAATACTGACATATTTAATGAAACTACATGCACACATAGTAGCAATTTTAATTGACCATAGCACAGTGTAGACAGTGGTTTAAAATGATGTGTGTAAAATAGTGTATTGGGCAAAATTTGTAGCTAATGAAAAGACATATCCATCATTTTGCATTGATTGGAGTACATGGTAAAGGAAGATAATAACTGCATCCCACTTACAATAATGCTCTTACAAGAAAATAGTGTCATGATTTAAGAAAAAATACAGAAAAATATTTAGGCACATCTTTGAAAAATTCATTTGAATTTCATTTTCTGACAGCTCAAGAGAAGGCATGTGGATGATTACACACTGATATTGAATGAAATCACAGCAAACAAAAAATTATTCAGCTTCAACTCAGTGGCATATGAAATCCTCATACATTTGACATTTCACAACAAACTAAAAACTATGTTTCAAAACAATAAAAAAAACTATGTTTCAAAACAAAGTCTGTTGGAGTTTTGACTGCATACATGATGAATTCAAAATGCTACAACATAAATCAGAATTAATGCTCCTGTTTTTCTCAACTACACATCCCCGATGAAGCAGGATCCTCTGCCTGTACAGATATTAAAACAATACTTTCCAATTAAATGCCCAACTCTGAGAAGAATCACCAGGCAATGCAATATGTCATTAATGCTTGTCATTAATGCTTAGAATTTAATGAAAATGTATTATCTTGCAACTCATGACTGGTTGCGTACACATTATACTAGTGCGAAATTCGGCTTTGAAATCGCCAAGTTGTGGTTTCATTTATGGTAGGTAACCTGAGCAGTTGAATGTTATGGAAACCCTGTTATGACGTGATTGGTTGTAATGCTTGATTGCGGTGATTTTGATTGATGGGAAAATACTTGTAAAAGCTTACTTAGCTATGGATGTTGGCTACGAAGTACGTTGCTTATTTTGTGCTTTACACCAGAAAATGCCGGCTGGATAAACTGAAGTTTCTGTACACTTTGGAACAATTGAAAAAGAAAACATTGACTGGTGTGTAAATGAAGATTTAAATGGCTTTGTTCACCTCTAAGAAAATTACGCAGTGAGATTTAAGGATTTTGAAACTGAAGCTCGTATCAACACTATGAAAAGTATGTGGGGTGTAATAAAAAGGGATTTTTGAAAGAGAAATGCTACCGGCAGTACGGTGGATATTTAAAATTTTTACATTTGTGAATTCATGTCACAACGACAGTATAGAGATTCTAGTTTAGATAATCTTAAATAGTTTTTGAATACTGTTAAGGAATTCTCTGCGTCACACATTTCGAAGAAACAGAAATTTTTAAATAAGGTAAGTCCCTATTTCCTTTTTGTACTGTGTAGATCAGATAACATATATTTTCATTTTTGTGGTATTTCCTTGTTTGATTTAAGATGCAGTTTGGTACTTACGTATTATCGCAACCAGGTTGGCGCAATTTGTAAGTTTGAGTAAAAAAGTATGAATAGAAAGAAAATGTACATTTATTAATTACAGATAATTTTAATACAGTTTTTTATATTATTTTGTTTTAAAATATAAAATAGCAATTAAACCCTTCCGGTTTCGAATTTGAATAAGTTGCAGAATTATTTTTTCGGCGGAAATCTTTTGGCTATTTGCTTTCTTTCTTTTTCATCCATTTCAAGGGCACATATCTCCCGCATGTAATTATTCCAATCTATAACAGTTTTGTCAGCAATTCCCATCTCTTCTGCACAAAATTTAATTGAGGTTAACTCTTTACACCAACAATAAATGAAGCGCACCGCTGTCACAAATGAAATTCGGCTACCTTCAAACCAATTTCCGGTTCTCACACCCAAATGTTGATTGCACTCTTCGACGTTATATTCCAGAAGATTTGCTTTCCAAAATACAGTTTCATTTTATGAGAATTTTTACAAGTATGTTCGTTCGGTATAATTCCATATCCCTGCAACAATTCAACAGCATCTTTTTCACTCGCAGGCAGATCCCAAATACCTATAGTTAAAGTATTTCAGGGCAGTCAATCTAACCAGTAAGAAAAATAATTTCTTTACGAAAAACTACGTATAACACATAGGGTTGCCGTAAGTAGGGTCGCCAAATTTGGCGATTTATGCGAATTTTGGCCTGGTTGCGTTAATACGTAAGTACCTGCAGTTTTTTTTAGATTATATATTTTTTGTTTTAATTATGTTTTAGATGCCATTTTACTGGGGAGAGCTTTGGACGTAAACAGGAATGGCACCAAAAAATCACCAAGTTTTGCCAAGGGATACCCTCAAATATATTTTTACCCAGGGCCTTTTTTTAAATGGCTATTTTTTCAACATCTGAGGTTGGTGAAAAATTAGGTTAATCTTTGGATTATGGTAACTTGGCGATTTTGGCAACCAACCCTGCTACAGCAACCTGCTAGTTTTGTTTTGGATGCCATTTTGTTTTCACGAAGTAATGGCATTTTTTTTTTTTTTTTTTTTTTTTACACAACATTTTTTTCCAACAATCTGCTAGCTGAATTACGCTTATGCTAGAACTTTTATGGAACAAAAGTGCTTAATCATGACGAAGAATAGGTGCGAAATTGGGAGAAAGTGCAGAATCAACCACTGCTTGCCGCGTTTTTAAGAATTGCACATACATGGTATCATCCATGTACACGTCAACCTATTTTCACTTAAAAAAACATTCCTGAATTGCACAAAAATGGCATTGTGCACTCGACTTTATCCATGTACACTGCTAAAGTCCTAACTAGTAACCTTTATCGCCTTACCAAAATGTTGCCAAACTACACATTACCATATTCCAAAGATTAGCTAAAAATTATTAGAGGAGAGCAGTTAATCACAGAGTATCACGAAAACAAACAAACAAAAAAACAGTATACAGAACATATGTCAATGTAGAACAAGGCATTTGCTTGGAACAGCTGAATCTCAAATAAGAAAATACAAAAAAAGCCAGTACCATTACACAGTTATGTTACTTTTTAATTTAGGCCTACAGTGTTCTATAGTTACATAATAATAGTAAAATTAAATTGTAAACAAACATTAAAAACAATGAATGAGCGTGTATTTGAATTGAATTGCACATAGCAATTAACTTGCAAAGAAATGAATTTATTACAACAACCTTCCTAATGCTCTCAGCAATATTATAAAATATCTGTTGTAATGAAAATTCCTTTGATTTATTAAACTTTATGAATGGCTAACTTTTGAAAACATCATGTTGAGAAAATACTGAGATAATATGATAAGCTTCAAATTAAAAAAAAAAAAATATGATTTTATTTTAATGACAATCAGATAAACATTCAGATATCTCTTTACATTCAATTAATAGCTATACCTTTTTAATATTCTTGATAATATGATTCTTAAACATCATAACTTGTAAGACACACCACTTCTAGACTAAAGGACTATGATTCTGAAAAGGGTTCCACACAAAAAGTTTGAGAACTGCTGCACTAATATATCAGTGCCAACTTTTATCTTTTCTAAACTCTTGACATATAAGTCTAACATTACCAACTAGCAGTTAATTTTGAGATCAAATTCTTTTGAAAAACTATCAAAGTACACTGTACAATACCTTAAAGAAAGTAAAAGAAAAAAAGAAAAAAAAAAAAAAAAATGCTAACTGAAAGAAAAGGTCTCTTAAATGGAAGGAGAAGAGAAAAGGTTACTTACATGTTAACAGACAAGGACTGGTTAGCTTTGAAGGTAATATGATATAATTAGCTTTCCTTTATTTCAGATGGAAAATATTTTGTGATCATTTCTAAAATAGCTTCAAAGTGTTTTTTAGCCTGAATTACAACTCTCTGCCACCAGATGAACAAGTATGCCTTTGAATGGTGTCTTGCTGTTGCAGCATCACCATGCAATCTTCGATTTGCTTGAATAAAACTTAATTTCGTGCAAAATAGAATTTTGACAGTTACTCAGCAATGTATGAGAACGCCTGAATGAAACTAATAGCATTATCTTGCTTGTTTGGTAGATCCCATAAGCCCATGATAAATGATCAACTTCGGGAAGGGGGAGGGAACCTTCTGTTTTTAAGACTGCAACGAAAACTTGATAATGTTACACATTTGCAATAGTGATTATTTTGTGTACGGCATTATTTATGTGAAAGTTGGCAATTAACTGTTCACTCTTTTCTGGCAAAATTTGTCGTTTTCTCTGTTGACATGCAAGTACCCATAAAAGTATTTAACCTACTATTAAAATAATTTAACAATTCAGATGAAAGCAATAGATGCTTTGAAAAATATATTTGACCAAATAGGTCAAATTGAAATATATCTATGTTACAAAATGCAAAAATACTACTTGAAAATATATATAGCGCAACACAGTATAATTATTATATTATGTATTATGATAAAGTTCTATTTTGTATTAGGAATTTTTTTTAAAAAAATGTGTCTTAGTTATAATTTTGTTGGCACTTTTCATATATCAAATAAATTTGCATTCATATTCAGAATTTAAGCTATTTATCATTATCTTCCAACTGTAAGACATATGATTGAAAAACCTTAAATTTAGAGTACTATTTTAACACTTTGGCATCAAAACCAAGCAATATTTGTATTTATTTTTCTATATTTATTCTATTTGCATAATAAAGTATGCTGACCAATAATTACTCCTTGAGTGATCAATAATTATTCTAGGAGTTTTCTGCAATCTTGAAATAATTCCTGGTGACTAAAAAATTATAAATAATTAAAACTACACACAGAAATAAAAAATTTATAACATGGATACCTAAATGTATTTAATCCATACCAAAATTTGGCATTGCATATAATTTGATATTGTTGATATCTGACACACAATTACTCAGGAGAACCTCCTAATTTTATAGAAATTTTGAAATCTTACTTGTAATTTCGATGCACCACCTTTAACAAACTGTGACACAATTTCTTCCACATGATCATGATCTTTAATATGAACAGTTTCCTTTTTAAATGCTTCCATCTAAAATTTTTTAGAATGAAAATTAACTACCAAATCATACAAGTATTAAAATATAAAATTTTATCCGATCTCATACATATGCTTGATATGTAAAATACAGAACTGCATTTAATGACAAATACAATTTTAATATAAAGTAAAAGATAAATGTAAAACTTTCTTATGCTTGACCTGTATTTCATGGCATCTTGAATATAAAAGTTTGAAAGAAATTAACTTTTCATTATGAAATATGCTTTTAAAATATAAGATGAAATTTCTGGCACATTTCGTAGGTTTCATAATTATTAACATAATGAAACCATTTTTATTATATGCACATATAATGGATTTATCAACAGATAATGGTGACAGAAATTTGCATTTAACTTTGAGTCAAAGTAAGTTACACAGTATAAATTATTTCAGTTTTTATGTGATGAAATATAACATAAGGTGAAAATACAAAGCTCGTATCTTTTCTCAAAATTAATTATTTAATTATTAGGAAATAATCTGACAATATATATGATGAGATCATCAGAACACATCTTTTGCAGAATGATTTCATATCAGTATAATAATACAGCAGATAAAATTGCAAGACAAGATAGCATAAGCTGGAAATCAATACTTAACGCTTTTACCGTATCAATAGTTCTAGTTATCTTCGTTTTATAGATAAATTGAATAATAAATAGAGATTCAACTGCTTAGTACGAATCCTTATTAATGATTCTGCGCCGTGATTCTTAATATAGAATATAGCATTGCACGCCATTTACAAATGGCTATTATATAACACTAAATCAAAAAGTCACATAACGTAAACAAACATCAATCAATCAGATAACAGTACACCGGAAAGTAAACATTAAGTAAACAAACGTTCATACCAAAACTACACGCGCTATAAATTGAATACAAACTTACACTTTCAGTTCACTTCTTTTCGTCTAATATTTCCACGACGCTGCATTCAAATATTGGCGGCACACTTAATGCAGGAAAGGAAGTTTTCTGGAAAAGGTTTTAAAGTTTTAGTGGATGTTCTTATATGAGATTGACAGCTTATAATTAGATACGCATAGTTTCATAGAAAGAATAAAACGCGTTGGCGTTCAGCGCCACAGAGAGGCGAAAAGAAGTCAGTGTAAGTTACCGAAGCACAATTCTCTAAAAGGTCCTGCTGTAAAATCTGAAGAACCTTGATTCGGGTACATTTCTTATATATATATTTGTGTGTGTATAACTGCATGAAAATATATGCGTATGTGTGTGTAGAGTTCGAAAGCTGAAATGAATTTTGTTCTTTGAGTTTAATTTTTTTCAATTATTTGTCAAAATAATGTATTTTCAATTTTAAGGAAATACGCGTCAATTTCTACTTACTCAAGTTGATTTTCTTATTTTATGATATCATAATTAAAGGGCCTGCTTCATGATCAAGGCCAGAGCTCACAAGTGTGTATTGTATAATGCCATCAAAATGCGTTAAACTACGTTCTTTCTGACGCATAAAAAGGTACGAAGAGACATTTTGACTGTGATCTGTTGCAGAGGGACGCTTTTTCATTAGGGAAGCCATTAGATTGCAATCAAAGACAATATAATTAGGTGACAGAGTTCCAGAGGGCAAGAATGATAGAAACTAATTGATCAGCTTGGCGAGCAGCTTGCCATCTAGGCTGGGACTGTGACGGCTCTGACTCGAGACTGTCAAGAGATGTTGACACCAGTGGACAAGAGAAAAATCGTACAT